CTTGTTTTCTTCTTGGATGACTGATTAGTTGCTTTACAATTTTTAAAATTGTAAAGCATGTATCTTACCCATACCCACCACGGTAAAAGTAAGGGCTTGTTTGAATGTACTTGTTTTCACTTAATAATTTATTTTTTAAATAAAATTAATCAATCATGATAAGTTGCCTGATAGTGTTTCTTGTAAAATTATGTGAGATAAACTTATATAGGTAGTTTTGCACATAAGTTTATCTTTTTGAAATATTTTTACTGCTTTATTCAATGTTAACCATTTACTAAAAAGAAAAAGTTCATATAAGGGTGATGCCCTAAACAATCAAATTAAGGGTACTTCAAAATTTTTATTAGAATAGGTTGTTTCAATGCTCAAAAATCCTCAAATTGATCATCTCGACCTCAAGATACATGGACAGGAGAAAAAATCTTGCAAATAATGTATTTTCAGACCATTAATTTTCAAGATTTTCAAGTGTTCATGGATCTTCTTGATCTACACTATTTTTAACCTTTAAATTTTATGACTAGATATAAAAATAAATTTTTAGGCTATTACAAATATTTCTAGTATTGATACAACATCTTTCGATACTATTTGAAATTGCACTTTACTTTGATTGTTTAGAGCATCGGTTTAATACAAACCACACCCTTACTATAACTAAAAATAGTTGAAAATCACAAAAAGAGGTAAATACTTTAATAATATTATATACAATGTATACTAAGCAACTAACAAAATAATGTGTAGAGCATATTAATTTTAAATAAAATAGTCTACTCCTACTGAGATCATTGGTTGGCATAGTCAATTTCAGTCATGTATACAGAGATGTCAATTCCGTTGCGGATGATTTAGCTAAGTAAGGAGGTGCTTTCTCTGTTTTAATTTATAATGGCAAACCTAACTTCATTTGATCTAATAAAATAAAGTACTCTTGTTATTAAAAAAAAAAAAAAGAGGGAGAGTAAACAATGCAATTTACATATGAAACTTTTAAATTATTAAAAAATTTAATAGCCTCAGGCAAGAAAAGGACCCTGTACTTAACTCAACCTGTGCATGGAAAAGCATACGCCATCCAGTTGTCAAGTGGATAAAATAATGGCAAAATATTATGTGGTCCTACGGCATTTGGTCCCGTCGGTCAAATACATGACTGCAATGGTTTTGATGGGACCCAGTCCACTCAGGTTCTTTTTTTTTTTTTTTTTTTCTCTCAGCATAAGATTAGTTCCATGCGAAATTCACAAAAAAAAAAAAAAGTTCTATTTTATTTTGGAATGAACAGTGCATTTTATGCTCAAGTTGATAGCCCAAATTGCATTTTTTATTTTATTTTTGTTCATTAGATTAGTTTTGGAGCATTCATAATTTTCAGCATCGTGCTTGTAAAAATATACAAAAAATAATAATTGAAAGAAATAAAATAACCAAAATACCTTTAAAACTTGTAGGAATTTTTTGTTCATTTTTGTTTTAGAAAAAAATTATATAAGGTTTCAACGATATATTATTGAAGTTAGGAGCACCTCAAAATCCTCTAAAAGATTATGTTTTGATGTTGGAAAATCCTTCAATATGATCATCTCAGCTTCAAGATATGTTGGTCTCAAGAAAAAAAGAATTTCAAATCCTAAAAATATTACATTTGTAACAAATTATTTGGATCATATATTTCAAAACTTTTAAGTATTAATAGATCTATTCGATTTGTATCTTTTTGAATTTTTTGAACCATGACTATTAATAAAAATATGTTTTCAAGCTATCATAAGGGCTTCGATACCAAAGCTACAGTTCCGACAAAATTTTGAGGTGCATCTTACTTATACGAACCTCATCCTTTATTTTATTAGATTATTCTTTATACTTTTATAAGTATGTACGGTGAGTAGTATGGATACTCAAAATTTAAACTTAATCTAATAAATAGTAAATGAAATTAAATAACTTATACACTCTCAAAAAGTGATACTCAAGCATAGATCAAAAAATATATGAGATTATTTTTAAATACTGATAATATAAAGGAATTTTTCCCTAAATTTCATGAGTTCAAAGAAAGAAAATGATTTGGAAACTTGCCCAAAATTGAAATTTCTTCTAGTACTGAATTTAGAATGTCCTTTATGATGGACATCATTTCTAGGAAAATTTGAGCCCAAGATGTGAATCAGAAGAGAGAGATGTTTAACGGTGTATGAGCCTTTTAAAGTACGGAGCGGCGGAATGGACCACCACCCATTTATTTTGATTTTGATCCCAAATCAACGGTTAGGATTGGATAACGCGGTAAAAAATTAGAACAACATTTAATAAAATAATAGAATATACGGGGCATTAGGGGGTGGGACCCTTAGAAAACATGCTTACCGATCTTGATCTGAATTGATGATTCCTGATCCATATCAACATTTTTTCGGGCAGTGGTAAGGAAGGAGAGCATATGGACACTTTGCTTTGGAAGGCCTCCTTTGTTCACCTGATAATGTGGAAATAAAATTTTAACTTGTAGTTTACTCTAAATCTTGAAAGCCCTAGCTTTACAGCCTGACATGAAATTGATCATCTGACCCTAAAGGAAATTATTTTAGCTTCTACATGTCTAGGAAAAAAAAAAAAAAAAAGGAGGGAATCTCATGTTTTACACATGAGTTGTTTCCTTGTATGTTAAATAATCCCCTTGAGTGGCTATGGCATATGTCCAACTACTACTATGTTTCCTTGTAGGTTAAAAAATCCCCTTGAGTGGCTATGGCATATGCCCACCTACTATGAGGAATTGATATTAGGCCACTACCTGTTGGTCCATAAAAAAGGAGGTCAAGGATTTTTATTTTATTTTATTTTTTTTGGTAATTCAGTGGGAAAAACAGTTGCTTAGAGAAGGAGGTCATGGATTTTATATTTTTTTTTGGTATTTCAGTGGGAAAAACAGGTGCTTACCTGTTTTTTCTGACATCAACAAGATTGGAAACCACAATGTGATAATTAGGTATGGGGTGCTACCACCACAACCCAACCCCTTTCCTATGTCATGGAGACCTTGATTACTACTTATTAGAGTCTACCTTTTATTAAGGGGAGATTTGCATCCTGCTCTTTAATTGTAGGTTGTCTTTCCAAAAAAACCCAATATTTTTTAAATATCTAATAAAAATCTTCTACTTTTAAAATATTTTTAGACCAAAATACACCTTTAGCAAATTATACCATAAAATTTTCTAAAGAACTGCAAAAATTAAAAAAAAAAAAATCAAGACTTTCTCTTTTAACATTGTGAACCCAAGGTGAAATCTTTTAAATAGAGTTTTTATGAATTTTAAAGAGACAAATCATATAGCTTACCTTCTTTATAGAAATTTTACATAAGTAATAATATTTCTCCCCTTTTTAAATAGCACAAGTATTTATCCAGGGTATCACAACATTGAGAGAGAGAGAGAGAGAGAGAGAGAGAGAGAAAGAGAGAGTTCTGATATTTTTGGGAGATTTTTTGTATATATATATTTTTTTGAGAGGAGTATTTTGGTAAAAAAAACAATTTGAAAGATTATGTGGGTTTTGTTTAAAGAAAAAAGAATATTATGTTTCATTTGATACTTCTAAACCAAAAAGTTTATATAAGGTTGACACCTTAAATGTAGAATTAAGGTTCACCTTTAATTTTTTTAAAAAAATGTTATGTTGATGTTGAAAAAAAAGCATATAATTGATCATCTTGATATCGAGATGTATAGATATAAAACAAAACAAAGAAAAAGATATTTTAAGTCCTAACAATATTATATCTTGCAACACATTGTCTAGACCATCCATCTTCAAGATTTTCATGCATATGTAGATCTGCTTGATTTAAACTACTTTTGAAGTTTAAAATTTTATGACTAGAGATAAAAACAGATTTCTCACACCATCCAAAGAATTTATGACATCAAAATTATATGCCGTAATTTAATTGTTTAAAGTTGAAACCTCATGCAAAACACCCTCATTTTAAAAAGATATTTCTAAAACACATTGAGTTTTTTTAAAGCTGCTTATGGGGTGGGACCTAAATTTCCCTGGATAAAGGTCGAGAGAGGAAGAGGGAGGGAGAGATTGTCAAAAGTAAATGTGAGACAAAAACTGAGAGGTCCATAATGGAAAATTCTATATAATGAATCATTTTAATTTTGAAAAAAGTTTATATAAATGTCAAGCTCTCAACAATCAAATTGGGGTGTATATCAAAAATTTCATTAAGAAAGGTTGTTTTGTAGCCCAAATATCCTCAAATTGATCATCTTAGCCTCAAAATGCATGAATATGAGAGAAAAATGGATTTCAAGTTTTATACATAGTGCATCTTGTAATGCATTTTTGGACTGTCAATTTTCATGTTTTCATTGATATGCTTGATCTACATTAGTTATGGAGCTTTAAATTGTATAATTAGAGCTGAAAATGTATTTTAAGGCTATCACAAAGATTTTCAGTATTGAAACCACATGTCTCGATACTATTTGAAAGTATGCTTTACTTTAATTGTTTGGAGCCTCGGCTTTATACAAACCGCAGCCCAGTAACTTTTTGAGCTGAGAGAGAGATAGAGATGTTAGAAATTGTATTTCTATATAATTGGGCTTTAAACCCTCATGGAAGATATATTATTGAGCTTATTGAAGATGTGAACAACAACACAAATTTATAGGGTTACAAAGCTATACTACTAAATAAAATAACATATGCAATGACCACTTTCTTAATATAGGTACACATAAAATGAACGAAAATATTGTACCAAAAAATAAGTGCAAGCTTCTATAATTCCCACACTCCCCCTCAAATTCAAGATGCGTTAAGAAAGAGCCACCTGAATTTGGACATCTGAAGGCATGCCTTAGTAACAAAGCATGAATAGAAGAAGCTTGAGCAGCTGCAAATTAGCGATTCACAAAAATCGACATCTCGAACAGAGTAGTCTCGCATAATAGCAAATCAACAGGCATCTGGAACAGACAAGATCGAGTAAACTTGATCATCACATATGATGGAGTAACGGAAAACTCCATCATCCAATAGGATAAAATAATAGAAAACTCAATTATTAAACATAAGCATCTGGAATAGACGGGATTGTATAAACTCGATCATCACATAAGATGATGTAACGAAAAACTCCATCATCCAACAAGATTGAGTAACATAAAACTCAATTGTTAAATATGATCAAGTAATAGAAAACTTGGTCATCAACCAAGATACATAAATTCAATCATCAAACAGGATGCACTTGAAAAAGTCAACAGAAATCAGTAGCGGATCAACAAACACAACTGAATTAGACAGTCGAAACACAACTCGACAGAGACATATCGGAGACTCAAAACATGACTTGGTGGCTGGTTTGCATATGGTACAAATTGCATTTCCAAATGTCACTTTTAGAAGTGGGTTTCATATCCGGCTCAGGCTCACCAAGGGTCCGGCATTAGAGGGGAGCACAGCAGCAATCGAACACAACATATTTGCCTTCAAGGAATGCCTTGTGTTCCACGCTCACCGCACCAAATATTTGCCTTTCGGCGTAGATGTAGGCCAAGGTAACCCCTATCTGCCCTTAGAGAGGTCTAAACTGCACTATCGATGACCCAAACAGCATATTCGGTGGATGACGAGACCCCACCATCCTCCCTGTCTCTATCCCTTACTCACTAAGAGAGTATTCCCGTCTTCGTATAGATCAAGACCGTTGAATAAGAGCTTCAATGGCTCAGATCCTCTCGATCCACTGGTTTTGTCCTCCTTGGAGATAAGGGACTAGTTTGTGAGCTTGTAATGGCCGCTAGGGCTAGGGTTTGGGTTTTCAGAGAGGACATTTTGGGCTCGAGCAAGGAAGGTTAGGGCTAAAGGCTTCTATGATGAGTCCCGTGCAGTCGTACAGAAAGCAATCTAGAGATCGAAGAGAAGCTCCTACACTTCATCGCCGGAAAACTCACTGGATACCATCCATTCAAAGCAAGAAGCGGCTAGGTTGTACCTTTTCAGGTCATGCCATATCAGGCTTGTTTTATAACATAAGGATGCAGCTTTTAATGGTTGGAGATGGAATTCCAGATGGATTTCCGGCCAAAACCAAGAGATATGGGCTATGTGACGAAGCTTTGCTTGTTCCTCATCAAATTTTGGCTGTAATTCTTGGGCTGAAGATTTTTTGGTGTTGTAGACAAAGAGAGTTGCAAAAGCCGCCGGAAAACTGTTGGCAACCTATCTGATTTTGACAAGACAACCAAAAATCAAGTGCCTTACTTCTCTCGAAAACAAAAGAAAACCTCGTGCCATTAACAAATGCTCACTTCTACTGGTTACGTTTAATAAGTTGGATAATAGGACTGCTTACATGCACTTGTTCTGGGTATTGGATTTAGGGTTCGGTCGACACCATCAAAGAGCTTACTGGTTACAACTTACAACCAATGTTGTCAGGAACATTGGTCAGCATGGTTAAGCAAACTACGGAACGCTCAATATGAAGATTTTAACGTGTTTTGAGAAAGCAGGGGTTTGAAGGAGATGGGTATTGAAAATGAAACACTAGGTGGTTCATGGAAAAATTACAAGCGAACCCCAGAGAGAAATAATTAAAAACAAGAGAAGAGAGAGAGGGTACGACTCACCGAGAGCTGACGATTTAGCATTCTCAGTGCTGGATAATGATGAACCAGAATAAAGGGCTCGGAAGCAGAGACACAACGAAAGAAATTGAACTTGGTCTTCAACAGATCTTTAGAAGAGCCAAAGATGTTAAATAACTCCAAACACAAATCGTCAAGATTCCAGATTGAATCAGCTGCCACAATGTGGTTACAGGCAACAGCAGAGTCTGAGTAATAGACGAAGATGATCAATCGCTCTAATACCATGTTAGAAACTGCATTTCTGTATAATTAGGCTTTTAGCCCTCATGAAAGATGTATACACATAAAAAAGAAAAAAAATATTGTACCAAAAAATATGAGCTAAGTTTCTATAATTTCCACAAGAGAGAGATTTCACAAAAAAAAAATTGAAGGTATTTGAAATGAGCAATTTCCTTATGAAATGAGAAAAACTCTCGAGAATTATAACCTCTTCCCAGAGAGAGAGTCTTCATTCCAAATTGAAGGCAAAAGAAATGAACACTTTCCATGTGAAATGAGAAAAACGCTAATGAAACATGAACTTCTCAAGATTATGAAGCCAATAGAAGATGCCAAATCCGGCTAAAATCATTGGGGACATAATTTCATGAGGGCTGCTCCCTCAAAGCCCAACAACACTAATCATACTTATATTATTATCACCTGAAATAATGTAGCAACTAAATACAATTTAGAGAAATTTATAGAAATATCTGTTTTATTTTTCGTTATTACCAAAATCCTTACAACTATTTGTTATTACTCAAATGTCAATTTTTTGGACTTCATAACTATTTTTTTTAAAAAAATGAAATTACCCATTTTCGGTTTTTTTTAAAAACTGAAATTTAATAATTTCGAATTTTTTAAAATCCAACTTTTTTATTTTTCGGTTTTTTGAAAAACCGAATTTTGTTTATTACTTATGTGTGGAAAAAGGCGATAATACAGTGGAAGTGAGCAAAAGACTTAATACTTCAGTTGAAAGAATTGAAGAAGCGAATAATTACATGACTTTTACAGTTGCTATGGACCTTCCATTGTTGATTCCAGTTGATCAATTGCCAATCTTATCTCAGCCTCCTTCAGGTTCTACTCATGATTCTTCCCTCTTACTCACCGATATGATGCCCACCGAGTTCTTATCATTTTTTTATCAGCTATGGTATCTTTCCTTGTACTAGTTTTGATTTATTTATTTATTCCTAATTTACACAAATCATAAAAGATCAAAACCTGCGACTCTCGGGGGATCGAGCCTTGAATCGATGTTTCCAATTCAGTGGAAGAAAATGATAAAGTCGAGAATTTGAACCCAAGAACCCCAAAACAAAAGAGATTAGTCGAAATCTCGGACTGTTTTGACAAGCCAGTTGTGTACCAAAAGAGTAAAATTATGGTAGCAACCATGGATTTGAATAAGGATTGTGTGAAGAGTCTTAGGTTTCTATTAAGAGACGTCTTGTTTCCATTATTCATATGAATGTACAGATTTATCTTTTATAAATAAATTACAAATGACAATAATAGAAACTAAATCATAAATACCTAAACCATATCTAATCTTATGATAAAGTACAAATACTCTATCAACCCTTCCTATAAATATTGATTGAAGTATATACTTTCTTTATTAACCCGATACATAATGTACACTTTCTTTCAAATTCCCCCCCTAATATTCAAGATGCAGGAGAGAGCAGCTAGAGTTTGAACACTAATTGTAGAAAACGAGTAGTTGGATCTTTAGGTGCATACTCAGATTGCTTGATCAATAAGCACCGAAAGCAGTGGTGAATCAACAAGCCTCGAGAACAGATGGCTTCAAGAACTCTTGAAAAAGATCAAACAAATAAGAGAGTCGAAACATGACTTAGCATAGAAATAGATCAGAGAGTCCAAACATGACTCGACAGAGATGACATATTAGATAGTCAAAACACGCATCAGCAGAGACGACAGATCAAAGAGTCGAACATGACTCAACAGAGAGTCAAAACACAACTCGACAGAAATTGCACTGACTTGGTGATCAACAGACTCGTCTTGAAAATTAACGACAATGCTTCAGAGACGAGGAATGGACACAACTAAAATGAATTTAGCTCTGATACCATGTGGAGAGTCTCAGATTTCTCTGAAGAGACTCCTTGTGTCCATTATTCATGTGGATGTACAGACTTATCTTTTATAGACAAATTATAAATAACAATAATATAAACTAAATCATAGACACCTAAACCATATCTAATCTTATAATAAAATACATATACCCTATCAACCCTTCCCATAAATATTGATTGTAATATATACTCTCTATATTAGCTCTATACACGATATACGCTTTCCTTTCACAGATTGCAAGATAGGGGAGTCAGTTTACAAAGCCACAATTGATAGGAAATATTTTGCGGTTAAGCAGTGTAGAGAACATATCACAAAGGAGATCAACATTCTACAAAAGTTTAACCGTGCGATTTGGTGAAGCTTGCTGGTATTCCATGGAGTCAAAAAGGAAAGAGAGAGAGAAAAAAAAAATTGTAGAGTGCAAGAGTGGAGACCAAAAGGTTAGAATAACCATTCAAAAAAAAAAAAAATCGAAAAGTTAGGGTAGTGTGAGAAGGACGTGGCCATTCCATTTCGGCTTTTGAAAAATAAAAGATGGGCAATTCGGTATTTCATAAAAAATTGTTATAAAGTCCAAAAAACGGACACATGAGTAATAAAAAAAGTTTTAGGTACTTTGATAATAACAAGAAATAAAACATATATTTATATAATTTTCCCTAAAAATTAATACTATCAATTTTAAAGTGGTTCATTGAATTTGTACCAAATTCTAGAATGGTTAATGTGTTATATGCACGTATTATTATAAAAAAGATCATCCCCATTTTTCACGCTTTTATTATTAGTACCTTTAGTACCAGCAACTAACCAAAGTTTAAAGCTTCAATTTTAAAATGGTATGTGTGAATATTAAAAAGGAAAAAGTTTATATAAGTGCGAGGATCTAAACAATCAAATTAGGGCACACACCAAAAATTTCACCAGAAGAGGTTATTTTGATGCTTAAATATCCTCAAATTGATCATCTCGACCTCAAGATTAAAAAATGGATTTTCAAGTTTTGGAATGATGCATCTTGTAATACATTTTTGGATCATCAATTTTCAAGATTTTCAAGTTTTCATAGATCTGCTTGGTATACACTATTTTTTAAACTTTAAATTTTATAATTAGAAATCAAAATATATTTTAAACCTATCACAAATATTTTCAATATTAAAACCACATTCTCCACACTATTTGAAAGTGCGCTTTATTTTGATTGCTGGGAGCCTTGGCTTTATGAAAACCGCACGCTTTTAATAAAAGATTGTTGTTTGGATTATATGGAGTAATTTTGTATCCAAAGGGCTAACGAAACATTATTAACACGCAGCCCCATATCCAAACTTTGGTGAGCTGGCCAGTGTAGCAGCTCAATGTTTGAGTTTTTTTTTTTTAAGAAATTATATATTTTGGGGCATGGATGCGTAACCAGTGCAAATTAATACCCAAAAAAATAGAAAGAAGTAATTTGTAAAATTTAAGATAACTATAATGCCCTACCCTTGTCAATAATTGTGGATGGTGTTTTGATCATTTTATTTTATGTATATTATTTTTTTGTATATATTCTATGATACACTTAGGTCTTGCCCACAAGCCCCTAAAATTTCAAGTCAAACGGATTCATAGAAAATGATAAAAATTAAATTGTATCAATACACGTCGATAGTATTAAGGCGCATCTCAAGATTTTCAATGAAGATGTAATTTTGCTATCGAGAACCTTATGATAACTTGAACTTCTATTTCATCCCTAGATATGAAATTCAGAGGTTCAAAAGTGGTACTGATCAAGTAGATCTACACACACTAAAAAGTCTTGAAAATAGACGATCCAAATAACTTGTTATAAATGCACTATTTTTAAGGTATAAATTATTATTTTTTCATATCCATACATCTTGAGGTCGAAATGATCTATTGAAGGGCATTTCAACATTGAATTACTCTCTTGGATTTTTAAGGTGGACCTTACTTTAACAGTATAATGTTTACACTTTATATAAATTTTTCCTTGATTCAAAACACTCTCAATATCCAGGCAAAAAAAGTGGGAAAATATTTTATATCCCTTATTTTTAGGTTTCATTTTTTGATAAACTGAAGGTTTCAAAAGATATTTTCTAACCTCTTGAGAGCTTTAAACTCATTGTTTAACTTAAATAAATGTGAAAAAGACATGCTCTTTCTAAATCCAATCATCTCTCTTCACTTATATACCCCAAACTTATCTATTTCTCTCTCTTCATGTATCTCTCACTCTGTCTCCTCCCGTGTTTTTTCAAACACCTCTCTCTCACTCCTCTTGGTATCCTCTCACCTCCATGAAGAAAAAATATGTCTTTTAATATTTGTTTGGCCTAAAAAAACATGTTTAAATTAGCTCATAGGGTTAGCAGAAGTAAAATCTACAAATTTTATGCCCCAAAATATCTTTTAAATCTTTGGGTCTATTGTGAAATGAAACTTAAAAATAGAGGGTATGGAGATATCTTTCCAAAAAAAGCTTACCCTTCTTAGAATGTAATTTTGGCCGCTGAACTAATTTTCACCAAAAATATTTCTACAAAAGATATCGGTATTTGATTACTATAACGTGATAAGTATAGCTTCAACCCCAACACCAACACCAACATTTACAGGGCTTGTCAAGCCAACTGCAAAAAAAAAAAAAACAAATGAAAAAATAAGGAAAATAAAGGGTTGGGCTAGGGCCAAACTGAGCCAGCCCTGCTATGATCCTTGACCAAAAAAGGCCTGGCCTTATCCTCGGGCCATAAGTGCATGCCCTTGGTAGGGCCCAAGCCCTACTTTTTTAAGGCCAAGATGAATAGGCCGTGCCAGGCCAAGTGTCCCATTGCCAACCCTAAATTTTTTAATAGGGTGCGTTTAGTATACTTATGCATGAGCACATTGTACACTTCTTCAGTAAAATACTTTGGAGTATTTCTAACATTTTCGGATCTCATTTGGAATTACCAAACTATATATAATAACAATGAATTTTGAGTTTTAAAGCTATTCAAAATTAGATGTTTTTTGCTTTTTTTATTTTTTTATTTTGTAGGAAAGATCTCAAACTCATAATAAGAATGAAACTCAAAACGTCGCGTTGTAGCAGCCACCACCTATCTATTCAATTATAAGACATTAGTTTTTTATACATATAAAGTGTGTATGTTTTTAACTCCACAATAATCATTGGATTGCAGATACATATGCCAAATTGGATACTCCAAAATGCGGTTTCAACCGATGAATCGTATACCCAAGGGAGCATATATCATATGGGAATTTGAATATAGCCCTAAAGTCCATAACGAATCATTCTTTATATTCTTTATATTTGAAAAGTCCAAACCATCAAGCTCATGCCAATTCCTCCTAAATGAATATTTGGATTAGGAATGTGGGGTTCAATATTTCCAAGCAATAGCATATAATATTTACCTAAGGAATGTAACATAAGATGATGTCTCAATATGCTAATTAAT